TCTTTTGGGCTTAGGAGAAAACACTCTTCTCCCTTTTGATCAAGCTCCAGCTGTGGCTTACCCTCTCCCTCCAGGAAGCCCCTGTGTTGCCTCCATCACTGAAGAGGGGAATTAAATAATAACAATAATAGTAAAAGCAAAACCTCATAATTTGTAGTTGCCATATAATAAAGTAAATTTTGCTGTGTTGTATGCGGCTTAATATAAAACCTAACCCACAGCTCTGCTTAAAATTAATTAACTCCCTGTAAAACCTACCTTATCTATTCTCCCCACATTTTCAGCAAAGTTCCCAAGCATCTCAAGACTCCTATTTTTCTTGTTGACCAGCTGCAAGGTCACAGGGCAATGTAACACCCAAAGAATAAACAATGCATTTCTGGCTTCTGTTAACTGCTACGTCATCCTGGTTGTATAAAAAGTACCCCATTTTCTTTCTCAGGGCTCAGCCTTGGGCTGTTAATCTGCTGAGCCGGTGCCACCTTAATAAAATCCTCCTGTTTCACCCATTGGTCCCTCCAGTCTCCTGGATATTCTGTAACATTACTGCCCTCTCCCTCACTACCCTGGAGCTCCTCAGTGAACTCAGGCCTCTGGAAACCAGAGCTAGGAGAGGAATTTTATCTTGCAAGGATAAAGTCTCTCCTGCTTGCTGTGCCTCCACAAATGTCCCCCAAACAAGGAGGCCCAAAACCTTCAAAACACTATCTTCTCAGCTGGGCACAGTGGCTCACACCTGTAATCCCAGCACTTTGGGAGACTGAGGCAGGTGGATCACGAGATCAGGAGTTCGAGACCAGCCTGACCAACATGGTGAAACCCCATCTCTACTAAAAATACAAAAATTAGCCAGGTGTGGTGATACATGCCTGTAATCCCAGGTACTCAGGAGGCTGAGGCAGGAGAATCACTTGAACCCAGGAGACGGAGGTTACAGTGAGCCAAGATCATGCCACTGCACTCCAGCCTAGGAGTGCATCTCAAAAAAAAAAAAAAAAGACTATCTTGTCATAATTTATCCTACTGGTAAACATATCTGTATACTATACAAACATATGTAATACACATGTTTATAAATATTTACATTGATATGGGGAGGTTGTGCACACACAGTATACTATTGGCAGCCAATGTCCTGGAGTAATGGAGACAGGTTTCTCCTGTTTATTTTTATTTTCACTAAAATAATGACCATCTCACATGTCATATCAGTTAGCAACACATTTAGTTCCAAGGAACGTAATACCCAACTAACAGGGGCTTACATGTATTGGGGTTTGTTTTCCTCACATAACAGGCATCTGGAGTCAAGGACAGCAGAGTTGATGTAACAGCTTCAAGACCCAGACTCTTCACTTTTTTTTTTTTTTTTTTTTTTTTGAGACAGGGTCTAGCTCTGTTGCCCAGGTTGGAGTGCGGTGGCATGATCACAGGTTACTGCAGGCTTGACCTGCCAGGCTCAAACAATCTTCCCACCTCAGCCTCCCAAGTATAGCTGGGACTATAGGCACATGCCACCATACCTAGCTTTTATTTATTTATCTTTTTTTTTGAGACAGAGTCTCGCTCTGTCGCCCAGGCTAGAGTGCAGTGGCGTGATCTCAGCTCACTGCAAATTCCGCTTCCCGGGTGCAAGTGATTCTCCTGCCTCAGACTCCTGAGTACCTGGGATTCCAGGCGCATGCCACCATGCCTGGCTAATTTTTGTATTTTTAATAGAGATGGGGTTTCACCAAATTGGTCAGGCTGGTCTTGAACTCCTGACCTTGTGATCCACTCACCTCAGCCTCCCAAAGTGCTGGGATTACAGGCATGACCCACCACACCTGGCTCAAATTTTTTATTTTTTGTAAAAATGGGGTCTCATTGTTGCCCAGTCTGGTCTTGAACTCCTGAACTCAGGTGATCCTACCTCTGCCCCCAAAGTGCTCGAGTTAACAGGCATGAACCACCGTGCCCAGTCAACCTCCTATTTTTTCTGAACACCATCTTCTCCATGTTGCTGCCTCATTATCCCAAGACAGCTGCTGCAGCCCCAGGGACTGTGGTTGTGTCAAAAGAGAAGAAGGAACAAGCAGTGCCTTGTCTAATAGGAAAGCAAAAATGTCCATGAACATTTCCACTTAGATCTAATCAGCCTTCAGGCTTCTAACTCTCAGGGAAGATGCAAAGTGACCAGCTGGCTTTTCCAGCCTTGGTGATGGAGGCAGGAAAGGGTATGGGGTCGGGAATGGCAGGCTCCTTGAAGTGCACCACACTGCCTTGTTCCTGACAGGATCTATGGGCTTTGCACTCACTCTGCTCAGATACTCATTCCATAGCCTGGGTCTAAAGATGCACCAGGACAGGCCTCAGCCCTGCCACTGGTATCTCTGCAGAGACAATAGCCCAGGCCTGGGGACTGCAGCACAGTGTCCAGGGACAGAGCATGGGCCCTCAGGGCTGAGGACAGCATTTCCCCCATTACGAGTCCAGCAGGGAAACCCAATCTGTCAGGGGTTGGCAGACAAAAAGAGTGAGGTCCTCTGGGCCTCTCCCACAGACTAACAAAGGAGGGGAGGTGACAAAGGAGAGTGAGAGGAAAGAGAAGTGACAGAGAGGATGATGGAGAAGAGGAGGTGACTGAGAAAGAGAAGGTGATGGAGAACAGAAGGTGGAGGAAAGATGGGGGTGAGGGAGGAGAAGGGAAGACAGAAGGGTGTGTGGAAGCCACGATGCTGGGCAGCAGGAGACAAGGGGGCATCCAGCAGATAGGCCAAGTGGACATCCCAGGTCCTGGGTGGGCAGCTGGTCAGGCCTGACATCGACCACCAGGTTCATAAGCTTAGTCAATGCCTTGCTGGAGGGAAGAACAGGGGCTGAGGAGACACAGAGGGAAGCCCTACCTGGGGGATTAGAGGTGGCTTTCCAAAGGTGGTGACCTCCACACAGGGACCTGCTGCTCCCTAGCCAGGCATTCCGGCTCCTCAGCCTGGCCCCTGCTCCTTCCCAGCCAGTACCACTGCAGCCCAGCCCAACAAAGAACACGTGCTTGGTACATCTGTTGAATGGAAAAACCTATAGAGCAACAAGGCAACAAAAGCTGGACAAAACTGCCCACTTAGGCCGGGCACAGTGGCTCACACCTGTAATCCTAGCACTTTGGGAGGCCAAGGAAGGTGGTTCACCTGAGTTTAGGAGTTCAAGACCAGCCTGGCCAACATGGTAAAACCCTGTCTCTACTAAATATTAAAAAAATTAGGCGGGCATGGTGGTGCGTTCCTGTAATCTCAGCTACCCAGGAGGCTGAAGCAGGAGAATCACTGGAACCTAGGAGGCAGAGGCTGCAGTGAGCTGAGATCATGCCACTGCACTCCAGCCTGGGTGACAGAGTGAGACTCTGTCTCAAAAAAATTGCCCACTTGCACAAATACAAAGAAAAGATTATCAAGAGCACAACACGGACCTTTTTTCTCCCAAGGGTGAAATATGAAAAGAAGTGAAATCTGTGGTTGTGGGAAGGAGGTTTAGGCTACTCTGAAGAGAGGGGTCTCCGATAGCTGAAAGGCACCAGGGACAAAAGCATCTGCAAGATCCATCCCAGCAGCAAGAGGAGCCCTCCTCAGCCCCTGCCCCAGCAGGCCCCCACTCCTTCTCCCTGGCCCTTGGCACCTGGCCCCAGCTGCTGTACTCCCTCCATCTCATCCAGGGAAACCTTTCTAAAATGACAATCTGAACATGCCCCTGCTGTACTCGAAATCATGCAGGGCCTTCCCATGATCAGCCCACGTTTGCCACTTCTCCCCTACTCTAAAACTCTCCATGGGTCCCCTCTACCAGCAGGATTATGTCTGGTCTCCCCACCATGACCCTTAAGGGCCTGTGTGATTTGGCCTGGCCCATGTCTCCAATCTCATACTTACCTCACCATCCCACCCCTCTCTGTGCCCCAGTCACCTTGGCTTCTCACTGGTCACTGAACCCTGTACCCTCCGGCTCCTGTGTTGTCTCCCTGTCCTCAGCACTGTGGCTCCTCTAGGCCCAGCTGACTCCTACATACCCTCCAGATGCCTGTCCTGCCTCCTTGGTAACCCCACAGGTCCCTGAGTAGCCCCCACCAGTGCACTCACCCCAGAACCCAGGAGAGTCTTAGAAGTAGGCTGTGTCCCCAGCACCCATCCCCAGCATCTTCATACCTATTTGTTATCCCCACAAATGGAAGGGATGAATGGCCTGCAGTCCAGCATCGTGACAAGACGAGGCCCTGGGGCCCCAGCCAGGAGTCTGTCAGTCCCCCTCACATCTCTCTGCCCTTTCAAGGTGGGTGCTGATGTTACTTCTCAAGAACCTGCTGTGCCAGGCAGGTTGCATGGGCTGCTTCCTCTGATGCTCACAACAGCGTGGGCGTGGGTGGCACTGAGGAACCAGAGCCCAGGGAAGAGAAGGACCCTTCTGGAGCCAGACAGTGGCCCCGCAGCTTCCATGGTACAGAGGGATCCGGGCCAGCCTGGCTGACTCCAGAGCACATACTCCTCCACACAGCACCCCAAGGCCTGGGGCTTGACTGGTCAGGGCAGGTACCAAGGATGGTAAGGATTCCAGGCAGGTCAGAGGTGGGCAGGACCTTGAGGCAGTGAGAGGGGCCCTGAAGACTGTCTTCTGGCCAAGTCATCGCCCCCTCCTTCTCACTGTGGCTCTGCCCTCATCACCCTCCCTCGGATGGTGGGGCAGCCTCCTGCCTGACCCCACTGCCTCCAGACTCTCCTTTTCTGACTGCTAGACCCACCCCCTTTCCCAAATCCCTGGTCTGCCCCTCCTTCCTGGTTGGCCCCCTCCCCTCAGGATCTGATCCCCCTCCCCTCTGACCCAGAAGACAGAGCCCAGGCCATTCTGTCTGCCTTTGAGGCCCTTCCTGGTCTGGCCCTGATGTCCCAGCCTCCTCAGCCCTAACATTCCATTTCCAAGCCCCACACTAGCCCCATGCAGTGGGGCACTGTGCTGAGGGTGAGGAGCACGGAAGATGGTACATGAGCTGGCTTGTTTATTAGCAAAGTCTTAGAGACACAGTAAGGCACGAAGTCCAGGAAGGGGCAGGGTGCCCTGGGGGACATGACCCCCAGGACCTCAGTGCTGGATGCCCCATCGTGGTGGGAGCTCCCCGTTCTTGAGCGGCTCTGAGCAGCTCTCTCCAGCAGCCCTGCTCCCATGGAACTGAGGACAAGGGAGCCTGAGGATGAGGGAGCCCTTTCATCTCAAGACGCTGAGTATGGGTAACAGGGAGGAGGGGAAGGAAGAGGCAGCTCCACCCTGTGGGTGGTGGGAGGGTGGGGCTCGGCAGGAGTGTGGGGCTCAGCAGGAGCCTGATGCTCCGCAGACCCTGAAGGCACTAAGACTAGAGGGCCTGGCTCAGAGGCAGGTCCTGGAGCTGGGGCAGGGGTGGAGGCTCAGCCTGGCTGATGGGTATGGGTAGGGGACAGGATGGCTATCTCTGAGCCCAGAGGCACCAGGTGGTAGGAGGCACCAGGTGGCAGGTTGTGGGGGCTGCCTCAGCTGAAGTCGCGGTTGGGCATGAGGAGCGGCGCTACCAGGGTCCACAGGTAGAGGAGCAGCCCTGCCCAGCTGGCGCAGATCTTCACCCACACAGCGGTCCATGTGCTAATCATCTTCTGGGTCTCACCGGGCCTGGAACACACCATCTTCCCCATGAGCCTGGCTCCTGGTCTTGTGACTTCCGTCTTGGCCCCTGGCCTTATGACCCAGTGTGACCCCTGACTTCAACTCTGGCTCTTCCCCTGTAATTCCAGTCCCTGTCTCTGACATTTTAACACCTGGCCTTCTGACCTTGGACATAGCTCCTGACGTCAGTTCCCATCTTGAGCCCAGTGTTAGTCCATGAGATCGTGACCTGACTCCTGGTCTCCAACCTTGTGATCTGAATTCCAGGACCTCAATCCTAGCCTCTGAACTTGGGACCCTGGAGCTCCTGGCCTTAGTCCTGACCACTACCCTTGACTCTGACCCTTGATCCTGTAGCTCAGAGGTGCCCCCTGACGTTATTACAGTCATTTAGCTCCCTCACCTTGCCACTTCAATCCTAGCTTTATGGCCTCCTACTCTCAATTTTAACTTTAACCAAATGACCGCATTTGTGACTCTAAATGACAAGTCCCAGCCCTAGACCTCATGACTCCTATCCTTGACCTTGTGACTTTGGTTCAGATCTCCACACCCTAATCCTAACCCTCCAACCATGAAGCCCAAATCTGACCCCATGACCCCTGATTTGTCAACCCCTCCTTCCCTGCACAGGCCCAGCCCCAGCTGCTGTGCTTCCCCCATCTTAGTCTCCTAGCGAAGGCACGGGAGATGAGCAAATGAAGGCACTGGTGGGGAAACTGGGGCAGGGAAGGGGCAGGCTCTGTGGAGGATCCTCGATAGAGACCCCCACCCCCAAGCTGTCAGCAGACACCAGGAAGAGCCAGTGAGGGATGGCAGGAGAGATGTATGGACCTGCACCCTGTGCCCCGGGCTCTGTCCATGCCCCGCTGGGCTACGTACTTGTACCAGTTGGTGAGCGTCATCATGATGTGCAGTGAGGCCAGCACCAGGCAGAAGTGGAAGAAGGAGTAGCTGTAGGTGACACCATCCTGCTCGTTGTCAAAGGCCGGGCCCTCACAGGCTGCCAGCTGCTGCTGCTGCTGCTGTGTGGCCTGTAGCATGGGTGGGCACTCCTCGGTCTGCATCAGGCTGTTCACCTGCCGATGGTCTGAGGAGCGCAGACTGCAGGGGAGGGAGGAAGGCGGGCAAATGGATAGACCTGGCGTTGGTCATAACACTGGACACAAGTGGTCCCAGAGCCTCGTAGGCCAGTGACCCGGTTACTGGGCCCAGGGGTTAACAAACGGCTTTGCCTCTCAACTCTACCCCTACCCGACTCCCACTTTCCATGTGACCTTGAGCAAGACACTTAACCTCTCTGAGCCTTTGATTCCTTGTCTGTGAAATCAGGGATAATCGTACCTCCTTTGGAGGGCTGCTGGGAGGACTAGATGGAATAATGATGTAAAGTCTCCAGCATAGTGCTTGGCACAGAATATAAATTCAATAAATAGCCACTATGGTTATGATAGTTCCTTAGCCATTAACACGTGTTAAGTAGCTAACGCTACAAAGCACCGTACCAGGTCCTACATCCACTAAGAATGTTAATAATTAATTGTGCTTGTTTGTCATTAATTTTCAGTTTCCATTTTATTAGTGTCAGGTGGTTTTACCAATGGCCGCCCTTTCCTTCATGCTTACACTAAAAAAAGAAAAGAACAACAGTAATGATTGTATACCATTGCTTTTCTGTGATGAGCTTTGATGTTTTTAACAGAATTTGATAGTTTGAGACATAATTTTTTAAAAAACCAAGTTGCATTTCAAAAAAAAAATAATAATAAAGGAGAGCTAGATTTCAGCCCCCTCCCAGCAAACTGAGAAATCACTCCTTGCTGTGCTCGCATGGGCCCAAACCACTGAATATCACATGGATATCTCTGCATGTGATACACTGGACTCACGTGCAGAGGGCCCAGCCCTTATGGGTTGTATATGCTTCTTTGCTGCCTGTGCTGTGAGAACCGTGCTAAGAACAGACCTGTGCCCCTGGGCTCTCAGCAGTGCAGGTGCCAGGGAGCTGTGGGTGTGGAAGCAGCAGGAAGCACAGCTGTGCCAGGTCAGGGAGGGGAAGGGATAGAGAACCAGGGGAAGGGATAGAGAACCAGGGGCAGGGAAAGTGCCAAGCTCCTTGGCCACCACCCACCACGAGCTCATGGCCTCCTCCTTGGTCTCCGTTTCCCTAACTGTAAAATGAAGGTAATCAAGCCAGGAGTGATGTACCCCTGTAATCCAAACACTTTGGCAGGCTGAGGCAGGAGAATTGCTTGGGCCCAGGAGTTTAAGGCCAGCCTGGGCAACACAGTGCCTTTACAGAAAAAAGAAAAAAAAAAAGTTTTATAAGTAGCTGGGCATGGTGGTGTGCACCTGTAATCCCAGTGACTCAGGAGGCTGAGGTGAGAGGATCACTTGAGCCCAGAAGTTTAAGTCTACAGTGAGAAGGGAAGGGAACGGAGGGGAGGGAAGAGAAGGGGAGGGGAGGGGAGGGGAGGGGAGGGGAGGGGAGGGGAGGGAGGGGAGGGGAGGGGATGGGAGGGGAAGGGAGGAGAGGGGAGGAGAGGGGAAAAGAAAAGAAAAGACAGGCTGGGCACGGTGGCTCAAGCCTCTAATCCCAGCACTTTGGGAGGCCGAGGCAGGTGGATCACGAGGTCAAGAGATCGAGATCATCCTGGTCAACATGGTGAAACCCCGTCTCTACTAAAAATACAAAAAATTAGCTGGGCATGGTGGCGTGTGCCTGTAATTCCAGCTACTTGGGAGGCTGAGGCAGGAGAATTGCCTGAACCCAGGAGGCAGAGGTTGCGGTGAGCCGAGATCACGCCATTGCACTCCAGCCTGGGTAACAAGAGCGAAACTCTGTCTCAAAAAAAAAAAAAGACAGAGGGGTAATTCAAGCCTTTCCAGCTTGAAAAGGAATCAAATGTGATAAAGAAGACAAATGTTTATGAACTGTACAGAACTGAATTGGAGAAAATGTTTTGAAAAATGCCAAAACAGAACAAAATGTGAAAGTGCCTTAAAATGTTCTAGCCCAGGGGCCTGGAGGCAGGGGTGCTGTTGGAACTGGAATGGATGGATGGGGAGACCAGAGGAGCAGAGTCAAGATTTCCTCTAGAGTTAAAAGCAGATGGAAAGTGGCGCTTAGAGAAATGCAGGGCCACAGGGAGGCAAACTCAGGGTCTGCCAGATTCCGTGTAAACAATAATTAAACCTAATATTATGATCTAGTGACTCATAAGAACAGCCACTCATAGCTACCTAGTTGTGCAAATGTTCACAATATTATGTTCATACTAATATACAAATATGCAAATGTTCACAATAATATGCAACACTTATTTGGCAAACTCCCAGACTCAAGCAATCCTCCCACCTCAGCCTCCTGAATCACTGGGACAACAGGTGCACACCGCCATGCCTGGCTAATTAAAAAACCTTTTTTTTTTTCTGTAGAGACACTATGTTGCCCAGGCTGGCCTTGATCTCCTGGGCCCAAGCAATCCTCCTACCTCAGCCTGCCAAAGTGTTTGGATGACAAATAACTTACTACTTGCCAAGTTCCTAAGTGTTTTTGCTTTGGTTTGTTAATTTTTAAAAAGAGATAGGGTCTCACTATGCTGCCAGGCTGGTCTCAAACTCCTAGGCCCAAGAGATCCTCCCACCTTGACCTCCCAAAGTGCTGAGATTACAGATGTGAGCCACCACACCTGGCCCCTTTCTAAGTGTTTTACACATATGGATTCATCTATGGCTCTTCCAACAATCCAATGAGGAAGGTACTATTTTATCTCTATTTTGCAGATAAGGAAATTGAGGCTCAGAGAGGTTTTTGTGTTTTTTTGGCAGGTGGGGGGGGTTTTGCCCAAGATCACACAGTGAGGAAGTGGCAAGGCCAGGCTCAAATGCAGGCAGTCTGGCTGCAAAGACCACATGGATAAGCACCTACTAAGATGTCCCTTTGAAAAGTGCCACTATGCGACCTTCAGCATAAGCTGCCTTGTCTCAGGGGAGAGTGTGGGGTCACAGCCACATCCACCACAATGGAGGCTGTCATCCTCTTGTTATTGAGGACAAAACAGGAGCTCAGAAAGGTTAAGCCACTTATCCCAAGCCACACAGCAGGTAAAAAACAGAGCCTGGACCCACTGACTCCAGTCCACGCTTCTTCTCTGACCCCACAGCTGTCTGCACCCAACTGAGCTGGCCCAGCATGCAGAAAAGGGCTGTGAGCCAGGAAGCAAGGTCACACCTGCCTCTGCTGCCCACTCATGCCATGCCCTCTGAGGAACTCAGTTTCCCCTCCAGCACAATACAAGAGCTGGACACACAGCATGCTAAGAGCACCTTCCAGCTTGGTATCCTGGCTCCCACATCCTCCCCTCACTTCCGGCTCAGGGCTCCCAGTCATGATTGATCCCGCCCCAGAATCCAAACCCAGCCATACCTGATGAAGAGGGTGCACAGAAGGAAGATGATGAGGCCCACAATGCTCGGGGCATCCCACCACTGGGTCTGATAGCCCTCGGGGCCAGCCAGGACCGTCCCATTGCCCAGCTGGGTTGGCAGGTGGGGGTTGCATTTCTGTTCTGGGGATGGAAGCACAATCATCCTCAGCCCATGCAGGCCAAGCCTAGGTAGCCAAGTGGCCCTGAGGATGGCCAGAGATCCAGCCCAAATAGATAGACACACAACTAATCACTCAAGTGCCAGCAACTGAGCACTCAGCAGTCACAGGGGAAGAGATACAACTCCGGAACAGACAGGGCCCTCCCATCTCATGGGAGGACTGAGTCTCAGAATGGGCTGGAGCTGGGATGTCCCTGTCACCTGTGAGGGTCCCCAGCCCCACAGCAGGCTGATGCTGGCCCAGGAATGAGGCCAGGCCTCCTCGAGCCTGGGCCCATACTCACCAGGGACACTGGATAGGGCCAACCAGGTGACAAACATGGTGTAGAGTGTGACGACCGAGGCCTGCAGCAGACCCGAGTTGGGCTGGGCGTTCTGCAAGAGCCGTTCACCGGTAAGACCCCTGCCCGACCAGAGACACCCCACCTACCCAGCCCACTCACACTAGCCAAGGGACCTCAGAAACTCCCACCCACCTAGGACACCCCAGCACACCCCACTTAGGGAAAACAACCAGGCCACCTACCACCCACCTCACTAAACAAAGGCTGAGTGCTAATTCTTCTTTCTCTGAACACCTCTCAGATTACCCGACCTCCTCTCCTACTGAAAACCCATCTCATCACACTCTGAATTCAAGCCTCCCTGGTTGCCCCTGTCTTCATCTCCACTTGGCCCACTGGCCCCCTCCTCCCTGCTCTCTATCAGGAGAGCCTGCCCAGCCTCTCCTGCACCCTGACATGTTCCTTCCCAGCATCTCTGCACAGGCAGCCCCTCTTTAGTATTCAGACAGGACTCCCACCAAGCCCTAGGAACCCTGACTATGACAGCCCTGCACCTGCCAGCCACCCACCTTTCAGCCCACACCCTCTCTCATGGTCCACATCGCACAATTTACCTAAAATGACCTCACTGGGCCTAGTTCCCTGTTGCCTATCCTTCCCCACCCCTCAACCACACGAGCACTTGAAGACATGGCTCTCTGTGATTAACAGCACAGGTGGCTGGGGATGGCAGCTTATGCCTATAATCTCAGCACTTTGGCAGGCTGAGGTAGGCAGATCGTTTGAAGTCAGAAGTTCAAGACCAGCCTGGCCAACATGGCAAACCCCTGTCTCTACTAAAAATAAAAAAATTAGCTGGGTGTGGTGGTGGGAGCCTATAATCCCAACTACTGGAGAAGCTGACACATGAGAATCGCTTGAGCCTGGGAGGAGAACGTTGGTTGCAGTGAGCTGAGACCACACCACTGCACCCCAGCCTAGGTGACAGAGCAAGACTCTGTCTCAAAAAAGAAAAACAAAAACAAATTTGGGCTAGGTATGGTGGCTCACCCTATAATCCCAATACTTTGGGAGGCCAAGGTGGGTAGATCACTGACTACTTGGGAGACTGAAGCACAAGAATTGCTTGAACCCGGGAAGTGGAGGTTGCAGTGAGTCAAGATTGCGCTACTGCACTCCAGCCTGGGCAACAGAGCCAGACCCCGTCTCAAAACACACACACACACACACACACACACACAGAGTGCAGGCTCTGAAGCATGCCTGGGTTCAAAACCCAGCTCCCCATGTGACCTTGGCTAGGCCTCTTCTCTAAGCCTTCGTTTACTCATCTGTAAAGTGAGGATGAGGATGGTGTGAGGATCAAATGACATGTCAGAGGCCACTAACTGGCTGTCATCATTATTCCTCCTCCCCTTCCTCACAGCCATGTCCCCAACATCTAGAAGATGGCCTCATACACCAGAGGTGCTCAGGAGGTATTTGCTGAATAACTACTGATTGCTGTGTGACCTGGGACACAAACATCACTTTCTCTGAGGTTCAACTTTTCTTACTGGGAAATGAGGCTCTGACCAGAAGGGAGGTTTCCAGCTTTTCTGCTAAAGACCCCCAAAGACTACCTAAGCTCCCTGAAGCCACTGGTGTGCTGAGATCTCAAGCCGCAAAGCACCACGGGACTCATGAGGGACTCCAATGGTACTTTCTGAAGAAAGAACAGTTCCTCTGGGAGCTCCTGCCCATTATTCCAGATGGTCTTGGATTGGAAATGTGAAATTGTACCTTCCTACACTACTTCCAGATGTGTCCAGGAATCACCACTCCTGGACTCCCCCTAATGTTCCCCTAATTTGCATAGAAACAAAAAGGATAACATAATACCTGTTATAATATCTAAAGTCTGAGGGAAACCTACAGGCCAGGCATGGAGTGTTTACAAATAGGATCTCAGTCCTGAGAATAACTCCAATAGGAGGTCTTATTATCCTCATTTGATATTTGAGAGGCAGAGAGAGGTTAGGGCACTTTCCTCATTTGATATTTGAGAGGTAGAGAGAGGTTAGGGCACCTCCTAAAGACACCCAGCATGCAGCCGTGAGAGCCATGACTCACCTGGGGAGGCTGACCTGGGAGCCCACATACACGAGGGGGTGAAGGGATGGACAAGGAAGCTAGCCCCAGGGCTCAGGTTCCTACAAGAATCCCACCCACCAAGGGGCCAGGGAGGGACAGGCAGGCTCACCTGGACCTTCGGCAGGACAGCAGCAATGGACACACAGACGCAGAGGGTGAGGTTGAGGCTTATGAAGATCTTGCCCTCGTGGCAGGTGCTGGGCTCGGTGTAGTAGATGAACATCAGCGCCACAGCCGTAATCGACAGCGAGTAGAAGAGGACGGTGAAGAAGAAGAGGCCTGGGCCAGAGGGGTGGTGAGAGAGTAGGCAGGGGGCAGGAGGCACAGGGATCCCCGCTCCCTCAAGAGGCCTTGTTGGCAGCTCTCCCCTCTCCAGGTCTCAGTTTCCCCATCTAAGGAATGACGTCCTTAGATTTACTAACCAAATGAAGAGCAAAAATAAATAAATAAATAAAAAGCAGGAGTTGCAATTTTTGCATCTGATAAATCAAAGCAACAGAGATATAATGGTAAAAGGATCAATGCAACAATAAGAGCTAACGATCCTAATACCCAGATGCATAAGACTCATAAAGAGATTTAGACTCAACGAGACAGAAAATTAATAAGGATATCCAGGACTTGAACTCAGATCTGGAACAAGTAAACTCAATAAATATTTATAGAGCTCTCCACTTTAAATACACAAAATATACATTCTCCACCTTAAATACACAAAATATTGATCGGCCATTGTTAATACCCATTTTTAGAATAAAGCTACATTCCCATTCTCTCTCCCTCTTTTTCTTCCTCTTTCTTCCTCTCCTTCACTCCTTTTTTTTCCTTACCTTTAAAAAAAAAAGTAAAAAAAAAATAATAATTCAAATACGCAATAGAGGAGAAAATAATGGTGCCATAAAGGGTGGTAGAGCCTGGTCCTTAAACTTAGGGCTGTAATCTCAGGTTTCATGAATTTGAATCCCATCTCCAACAGGAAAAGGAAATGAAGAGTTATTATTTAATGGATACAAATTTTCTCTTTGGGAAGATGAAAACATTCTGGAATTAGACAACAGCAATGATTACCTAACATTATAAATGTACTTAGTAGCACTGAATTGTACATTTTAAAATAGTTAAAATGGTAAATTTTGTTATGTATTAAAAAAAAAAAGGAATGACATCACTGCCTTTCCCCAACACCTTTATGAGTCATTGACCCACCTTGAGCTAAGATGCTTCACTTGCTACCTTGTATTAAGGGAACTGTGACAATAAACACAGTGAACTCAAAACAGCCTTGCAAAAACTGAATGAGGCAGTAAGGCAGCACCCAGGTGAGCCTTTCTTCTCGATGTGTTCAGAACTGAAAGAGAACCAGGGACTCACCCTGCTACTGGGGTTTCAGGGACCAGGTGTCACTTGAAGTTCTGCCTGGGCACCACCAAAAGGGCTTCACACACTGCTGGCTGTGTGTGGCCCACCCTGCAGGAACCCCCAAACAAGACCCCCCAAGGCCTCTCCAGGTCAGCTCTCCTCGGATCCCTGGGAAGTCACCCCAGGATCAGCAGCCACCCCCATCATCAGCCTGGGACAGTTGGAATCTTGCCCTAAGGCAGTGGCTGCTCAAGATGCCCCCCAATTTTATCTAGCTTCAGGGACCCGCAATTCCTCAGGTAGCCCCAGCTCTGCCCTGGCTAGAGTCCCCACATGGAGGCAGGGAGGCAGCACTGACCTGCATACCAGGCACGAGAGTCACGCTCCTCAGCCTTGCCCAGCCACAACTGGTTCCAGGAGTGCGCGAAGTCAATGAGCAGCACCAGCTGGATGAGGATAAAGAGGAAGGAGCCCACGACGCCAAAGTAGAACCAGACTAGGTGGGGAGAGGAGAGTGAGGGGAGGGGGTCCCTTTCCCACATCTACTCACTACTCATTCAACGAGCGTTTCTGCTATGCCCTGCACCAGGGACACTGAGAACAGAGTCCCTGCCCTCAGGGAGCCCCTAGCTATGCAGAGACACACACAGAGGGCAGGATATGGGTCAGGCGAGGCGGGCTCCCCCTACTCCTGGGTTGCACAAAAGGCCGCGTAGCCAAGCACCACAGTGTTGTCTCACAGGTGGAGAATGACACTGGACCCAGCCAGCGGCCTGGGCTCTGTGTGCCCCAGCAAAGAGCAGCCCCACCACATTCCTCCAACGTGAAGCCCCACCTCCCTCCCCACAGCCCCCCATGCCTCCTGCCAAACCCGCCTACTGTTGGAGAAGGAGCCATCAGGGATGTAGAAGGCACCCACGGTGATGCCCACGAAGATCAGGAACTTAAAGAACCAAAACCTATGGAGGGGGTGGGGGATGGACAAGCAAGCTGAGTATGGGCAGGGAAACTGGAAACCAGACTGGGCCTGGCCCCAGAGCCCCCACCCACGAAGAGCAGATGCCGGGAACAACGAGGGTGGGCTTTCTGATGGTCTCATGGGCACAGGTCTCTCCTGGCCCTGGGAAAAGCCCTAAGGGCAGGAGGGAGGACCACACAGCAGTGCAGGTGGTCACCCAGGTCCAGCCCCAGCTGTGTCACTGAAGTGCTCCGGGGCCTGAGGCTTACTGCCGACCTTTCTGAGCCTTACTCTCCATCTGAGAAATGAATCTAACTCAAAGAGCCGTTCTCCATGCTGTGCCCTCCCGTGGCTCCTGAGCCTGAGGGTAGGGTCTGCAGATCCCTGGACAGGCAGAGGAGTGGGGAAGGCACTGGGGGAAGGTCCCAGGGTGCCGGCAGGGACCCCTCTCTCACCCGTTCTGGATGGCAGCCCGGGGGTCCCGGCTGCTGCTCACGCAGAGCATGAGCAGGGTGAAAAAGAAGAAAAAGGCTGCCGTGGCGAAGCACATGCGGTAGACTGCGCGGTAGCCCAGCAGGGAGCCACAGTCGATGTAGCCCTGCAAGGCGGTGGGGATCCCGGCCCCCTCCTCACATACCCAGGGCAGCTGTGGAGACAGACAGAGCAGCGTCAAGGCCCCACCCCTCACAGAACCCTGGCAGCTCCCTTTATAAACCAGAGCCCTGCTCTGCCAAGGCCGTCCAAGAAAGAGGCTCTCCCAGCAGGGGCTGCGCCAGGCAGGGAGGGGGGCTCCAGCTCCCCTGTGCCTCCACCGCCTCCACCTCCACTCCTGTCTCTGAGGCTGAAGCCCTGGGAGGGAGCTGCCCAGTTACAGCTTGTTACTATCTGTTTATTTCCCACCGCCTCAGTAACTATTGGGCTATCTAAAGCAGGGTTTCCCAAAGAGTTCTTCACCCACTGCCTACATCAGAACCACCTGAGATGCTTAGGGAAACAGGTTCTGAGGCCCCTCTCCCATGGTGTGGACTGAGAATCTGCATTTCTACAAGCTCCCCAGGGAGTCTTATCTTTATACACACTAAAATGTGTATAAGGCACCATGGTGATGCCTACGCCGCCCTGGGTCTGTGCCAGGCGGTAAGACATTAAGATGAAGGGGAGAGTTAGGAGCCCCAACTTAGGCTTGAGCACTAACGGGGAGAAGAGCACCCCCTAGGTCAGTGTCTAGGGGGACAGACATGATTAGTAAGATTTTCCAAGGAGACTGTGGCCTAAGAGAAAGAATCCCCCTGTGAGGTTCAAGCCCTCCTCCCCTCATTTCCAACCTCAGATCATCAGTGCACCCAAACACCCCTCATCTTCTGGATGAGCTGTGACCCCAGGCCTGGGCCCTCTAGCCTGGAGCAGCTGAGGCCCCTCACTGGAGGCTGCCCTGCCTGGGGTGCTCACCTTGTAGAGCTGACTCTCCACGCCCGGGCTCAGCATAATGATGGACACCAGCACCCCCAGGAAGAGGAAGAACGTGAAGATGAGGCGGCTCACCGTGGAGTTGCGGCTGGCAGGGCAGCAGCTGCACAGGATGCAGGGGGCAGAGCCACAGAGGCAGGACGCCTGTGGGACAGGACCATCATTCTCCCCTCTCCCCTTCCCAGCCCAAGCTCGCAGCTCCCACCACCTTCCTAGAGGTCAGTGCATCTGTACCACGCTAAGCAGGAGCACACTATTCCCCAGACACCAGCCCATTGAACTTTCAGGCTCCCTCTCTCCACCCCCCTTAGTTTTCCCCGCAGGACTTCCCACGGTCAGCGAGGCTTTATGTTTTACTTGTGTTTGTTGACCTCCGCTTTCTAGCAGGGCAGGGATTTTTGTGTTTTGTTCATTGTGGTATTCCTAGAAATTGAAACTGTGCCTGTCACACAGCAGGAGCTTAGGGGCTATCTGTTGAAGGACTATGATGTGTTTGGCATGGTACCAGTTGCCTGTTAAGACCACAGAAAACAGCATAATAGTGCATAATAAACATCAGTTGGATGAACGGAATGATTTTTGGTTCTGAGGCTATACCAGCACTAGACAGCAGGTGGCGGACTACCCTTTTCCCTCTCCAGAGTTCTCTGCCCCAGTTGCGGTCAGCCCTTCCCCTGGGCTGGCTGAAATCATTCAGAGGCTGGTGATGCCACACTATGCCCCACCTGAAAAGTAAACTCACCCTCCTGGGAGCCCAGTCCACAGCCCAGCCTTTGAGGAAACAGGCCCCACATCTAAATACCTCTGGTAAACTGTCTTCGCCTAAACAGCCCCTATTCCTCACCTGGGCATTTAAGAGCCTGGAGAGCAAGAGAAATAGGCCCTGCCCTCCTGGAGCTTACACAAACAGGAAAAACACTAAACAAATTATTACTGACTCATGACAAGCGCTAAGAAGGACACACACTCACTGCCAGAAGAGTGCCAACACAGACTAGGTTTGATTGAGGGTGGCATGTCAGAGAATCCCTCCTTGAAGAAGTGACTTTTAAACTGAGAGCAGGCCAGGCATGGTGGCTCACACCTATAATCCCAGCATTTTGGGATGCCAAGGCAGGAGGATGGCTTAGGCCCAGGAGTTGGACAACAGCCTGGGCAACACGGTGAGACTGTGTCTTCTAAAAAAGGATTTTTCTTTTTTTCTGAGACAGGGCCTTGCCCTGTCACCCAGGCTGGAGTGCAGTGGCACAATCTCAGCTCACTACAACCTCTGACTCCTTGGCTCAAGCCATCCTCCCACCTCAGCCTCCTGAGTAGCTGGGACTACAAGCACATACCACCATGCCTGGCTAATTTTTTTTTTTTTTTTGGTAGAGATGGAGTTTCACCGTGGTCCCCAGACTGGTCCCAAACTTCTGGGCTCAAGCAATCCACCCGCCTCGGCCTCCCAAAGTGCTAGAATTACAGGTGTGAGCCACTGCACTTGGCCTTTCAAAAAGAAATACTTTAAAATAAAATAATAAGCTCAGAGCAGAGGGATGAGGAGACACTGCCAGACCAAAGGGGGGAAAGAAAGTTCTAGGCAGGTGGCTCTGGGGCAGGTAGGGGCTGGGCATTTGAGGAATAGAAAGAAGGGCCTCGTGGCCAAAGCTTGGTGAGAGGCAGTCAGCAGTGAGTGTGAGGTCAGACAGGCTGGCAAAGCAGGACCACACAGGCACCAGCAGCCAGAAATAGGACCCTGGTTTTCATCCTAAGAGCAGTGGGCACCCACTTGAGGGGCTGGGGCCAAGGGTCAGGAATTGAAAGACCAGCTTTGCAGAGAGCAGACTGGCAGAGGCCCGTTGATCCTGAGACCTCCTCTGCCCTTCTTTCTGGACTAGTCACAGAGCAAACAGCACACCCTGCTGGGGGCAGCTGCCTCCTCTCTTACTCTCCCCCAGACTAGAAATGCTCCTTCTCACCTACCTCTCGCTCACACAGATGCTAAAAAAATGCTTCAGAAACAAAACTATTCCTCGTGGTCACGAGTAAATGAAAATAGTCCCATCTGTCCAGCAACTTCTGGTTACGTCTTGCAGCTGCTATCCCAAGAGCTGCCTCCTATCGATGGCTGTTGGTGGGTGAGGAGATAAGAAAAGGCTGAAAAATGTTTCATAGGCCATGATGCAGTGGTCCCAAACCTTTCTGGCACCAGAAACCAGTTTCAGAGAAGACATAATTTTAAAAGGAGTGAAGCTTTTTTTATAGGGAGTACATCGGGTACAGAGGAGATTAAAAGGAAGCAGGTTGACTTAGTGTTCACTGGTCTTTACAATGAACCAGACCATAAAGAAGACTTTAACAAAATTCATTCTAAAGACCAGTGAACACTACGTCAACCTGCTTCGTTTTATTCTCCTCTGTACCCGATGTACTCCCTATAAAAAAAGCTTCACTCCTTTTAAAATTATGTTTAAAAGGCCCCCTCCTTACTCCCCAAACTTGCAGACACCATACATGCTAAAGTCCATAATCATACACTCCTTAAGTCCTTACAAGCGCTCCAGTCTGTTCAGTCTCAAGTGCACCGGCTCATCAAGGGAATTCAACCTACCCCAGCAGACCTCACTGACCAGCCACTCCACCCCTTCCAGCCCAAAGACAAAGCCCTAGTAAAGAAGTTCACCACCTCTAGCCTAACTCTTCGCTAAAAAGGACCCTACACCGTGATCCTAATCCCTCCCACATCAATCAAAATAGACAGACTAACTGCCTAGATTCACCACTCACATGTCAAGACTGTCCCCCTGACACACAATAAAGAGTGACCTCAGCTTCAGCAGACCACCTAAAACTAAGACTTTTGCACTCCTCGCAGTAACCTTCCTTATCCCCCTAATTCCTAGTGTAACCCCTCAGAGAAGAGCCCCCTTAACTCCCACCTATTACCAGTAAATCCTTACTGAAAAATCCACTAGAAAGTATATTAGTTCCTTAATTTAAAAAAATCCAAAAAAAAGAAAACTATTAAAAATTTAATACATATTAAAAGAACAGGGGGGAATGTGCTATAGCGGGCCTAGAGTTAGAACCAGAGCAACGTCATTTTATAAAACAAAGCTGTTTTTTACAAAAAATAAGTTGTACTGCCCCATTCTCCTTGCAATAACTGCTGACCTTGCTTTCTGTAAACAAAACTGCTAGCTTGCTCTAAAGAATTCACACCATGTAAAGCTGCTTGTCTTTTTCTTATTAGTAACTGTCTGGCCTTTGCTTATCAGTAGTTACCAAGATAAGCTTCTGTAGAGTTGCTTGCCCTGCATCCAGGATGTGGTTTTTCAGCTTAAATACCCTGCTACCCCTGAGTTCGGGGCCACGGGTTGGAGAGACGTGAGTCCTCCGTGGTCGCTGGCAATAAAGACCCTGCACTTTGGCATACTTTTATCTTAGTTGATTATTTCAATCTCGCATCCAATACTTCAGTGTCACTGATCATAACAGGAAAATAATAGGGGAAGAGAAATTTTGTTTTGAAACAGGGTCTCGTTGTCACCCAGGCTAGAGCACAGTGGTGCCATCTCAGCTCACTGCAACCTCTACCTCTGGGGCTCAAGTAATCCTCCCACCTCAGCTTCCTGAGTAGCTGGGACCACAGGTACCAGCTAATTTTTGTTTTTAGTTTTCTGGGTTTTTTTTTTCTTTTTTTCCGAGAAAGGGTCTGGCTCTGTCACCCAGGCTGGAGTGCAGTGGTGTGACCTCAGCTCACTGCAGCCTCAACCTCCTGGCCTCAAGCACTCCTCCTACCTCAGCCTCCCAAGTAGCTGGGACCACAGGTGCATACCACCACACCCAGCTAATTTTTGTATTTTTTGATAGAGACAGGGTTTTCTCATGTTGGCCAGGCTGGTCTTGAACTCCTGGGCTCAAGGGATCCTCCACTTTGGACTCCCAAAGTGCTGGGATTATAGGCATGAGCCACCATCCTCAGCCACTGGGGGAAAATTGAAAATAACAAAACACCCATCAATATATCATGGTACACCATAAAAAAGGATTTCTCTGCTGAATGGAGCAAACATGTAGGTAACACTTAACTTGGGTATATTTAATTGTATATAAATAATACTTCAATTAAGTTGAATTTACAAATATGAAAATAAAGATTTTATATAAAGAAAAAACTTAAATAAGCTTTAGGTTTTGTAAGCCTATTGAAGTCTTAAGAAACTACAAATAACCTAAATGTCTAACACCTGGGGACAGCCAAGGCCCTTTCACTCCACGGAATGCTACAGAGGCAGAAAGATGAAGCCCCTGGCTCCAGAGCAACATGGAATAACGATCGTGATGCATGTGAAAGGAAGGCTGACTGTAAGGCTGTTCCCACACTACAATTACAACCACTCCCCTCTCCCTGCGGATGCACTCAAGAGCAGCATCAGAAAAGCCCCAGAACACTTACAGTGGCTGAATCTTAACACCAGCCCAGGTTCTCGGAATGGAGAAGTCAAGATTTAAGAAGCTCCAAGCCTTAGCGTTCTACAGCTGCAATGTTCCTTGGCAGTCAACCAATCCATTCTCTTTCCAATGAGGAACCACCCAGAAGTATCTGGCCATCCTCTGCTGCTTGCACACTGCCAATGACAAGGAGCTCACTACGTCTTAAGGCAAGGCAGATAGCTCGGGAGCTGTGAGTGGTTTGGCATTATGTGAACAGGCTGTCACTGAGTCAGTCATTCACATTGTCTCCTGGTTGTCCTTAGAGCCAGGGACAGAAGTTCTTAGAACCACTCGTGAGGTACTAGGTGGGTGAGGGAGGCAGCTGAGGGCTGGGTGACAGTTTTGAATTTTTCTGTTTAAAACAAACTGGCCATCTGGGTGTGGTGCCTCGTGCCTGTAATCCCAGAACTTTTTTTTTTTTAGACGGAGTTTTGCTCTTGCTACCCAGGCTGGAGTGCAATGGCACGATCTCGGCTCATGGCAACCTCTGCCTCCTGGGTTCAGGCAATTCTCCTACCTCAGCCTCCTGACAATCCCAGAACTTTGAGAGGCTGACGACACGGGCAGATTACTTGAGATCAGGAGTTTGAGACCACCCTGTCAACATGGTGAAACACCGTTTCTACTAAAAATACAAAAATTAGCTGGGCATGGGGGTGGGCACT